GTCTCTGAGGAAAATTCAAGGCTTGTTCAAATAAACAGCCTTCTGAATATTCTGATAGGAGAGCAAACACTGCTGTTTTACACGGAAGCTAGCTAGGAAGATATTGTGGCTTTCATAAAAGACGACGGATTTTATGCAACTTCTAAACCCACATCTCACCTGAAATCTGAGGAATTTTACACCCCTACTTGTCTCTCTGCAGCCTGAAAAAAAAGACTGAACTACCCAAGGGGCTTATGCCCTGAAATACTGAGAGCAATGTGGAAGAACCTGTAAATTGGGAGTTGGGACAACATCACATCAGCAATGCTTATAAAATTGCTAAATTCCTCTCAGGCTCCCAAACCAGGTGTCCCCTGGGCTGTACAGTGATGATTAGGATTCCATGAACTACGATGCCATCACTGCCCTTGCAGACATCATTGCGTACAGAAATCCTGGTTGCCACACTGAGAGTCCAACTCAGGCTCTCTAAGGATGAGAAGTTATACCTGTAATAAACTTTAACAATTTGCAGAGCAGGGACATGGGAGCACACAAGATAAATCCAGCTGCAAGTTACTCAGCACTTCTGTTGTTGACAAATTAAGTCAAAATACACCTTGCACCACTTCCCAGCCACTAAACTTAATCGTTTCTATGTTCTAGGGCACAGCCCAAACTCCCTGAGCTCACATCACAGACCATGTATTTGTCTGAAAACCATACAGACAGCCAGGTATCATTCTCAGAGGAAAAGGAAAAATATAACTAACCAGCTTGCAGCAATGTGTGAAGATCACCTTCACCCCTATTGCACACTTGTACGCTTTCTTGTATGAAATTATTTCAGCCTTTCTGGAGTAGCTAATCACAAAAACAGGCACAGAAACATCACCTAACCAGGAAAAAAAAAAAAACCAAAAAACAACAAAAAAGCTGTTGCTCAGATGCAGAGTAACGCACTGAAGCCAAAGGACAGGTCAGTAAAAGGGCAAGTTGAACCAGGAGATGTGGAGCTGGTGGGCTGCTCTCTGAAGAAACTCATCCAGCTCAGGCCAACAGGCATCGTGTGACACAGTGGCCCTTTCAGGTTGTTTCACATTCCGCATAAGGGTGTTCTTCCTCCATTAATCAAAATAGATAGGAGCAACAGAAACCACACGGGCACAACTTCTTTGGAAACCATAGTGGAACTCAGAAAGTCCCTGACTTCTAAAAATCACCGACTGTCAATTCAAAGTAGTCCCTTGAGTCCTACAGAGGTGTTGACCTAGATGACATTTTTAAAGTGTTTGAAAGTATGAATAGATAAAACTTTTTTTTTTTTCCCCCCACACAGGTGATCTCAGCAATAAACTCCTCAACCATCCAGAAGTCACATTTTTCCTCCCGTAGAAATACTTCCTTCATCATTCATGGATTTGCCAGCACTGGAAAAACAGGCTGGGTGGTAGAAATGTGCTTGGTATGAGCAAGTATCCTCTGATTTTCATCAGCAGTTGTAACTACAATCTGTCAGTATCCTTTAGGTGCTAATGTTCACCTTCCATCTTTCAATCCATTAGGCTGTAGCAGATACCCACCAAGAAGTAAATTTCACAAAAGGCAAAAAGTTCCCACTCTGGAAGACACAGCATAGTCAAATTTTCTTGGTCATGCCTGACATTACACTTCTCTAGGGAGTTTCCATCCCCAAACCCTACAGATAAATCAAAGCAATAAACTGAACACAGACGTCCCCAGACTCAACAGCGGTGTCAGGATACAGGATTAGACACACCCATTCACCCCTTCTCCCATTAGGAGCAATTGAACCATCCTTCAGTCAAAAAGCCTTCCTGAGTTGGAGAGCTCATTTCAGTCTACAAATACTGCTCCGAGTCACCATTCCTCATGTGGAATAGCTACCAGAGAAACGTGGAGGCTACCACAGAACCAGCAGAGCTTACTGTGTCAACCACAGCTTTGGCTCTGATAGATAAGCAAAATCTACTCTTGTTTCTGCTTCTTCCACACTTGCAGGGAAAAGGACAAACTAGAACAGACTACCTCTGAATATTAAGTTGCAGATCTGCAGAATTATTTTTGTTCATAAATCTGTGAAGTCTTTTAATCTAGAATATTAAGTTTCCCATTTTTTTAGTTGAAAAGAAACAGCAATTCCACCTCTCCACACTACAAACTGTGCTTATGGGCCTACAGGAGAGGATGGAATCCAGGATTCAAGGCACTGTCACTTCAAGCTTCTGTTTTCCTTGTCATTCACTTTCAGCCATTTACCATAGATTAATTTTTGCTTTTATTCCTTATTCTTTCCCAAACCATAACTAAGCCTTAGTCACAGACAGCTACATCTGCAGACTTTGATTATATGACTCTTCCAGTAGAAGAATCACTGATCTCTGCAAGACAGTGACCAGTACCAAAGTGACCAATGCATTATCTTTCTTTGCTGAAATAGAAACTTTCAACTCTGCTCCAAACCTTTCCAGTCTGCCAGGCCTTTCTCACTTTTAATGGCACTTGGTAAATAAATTTACTTCCTATAGTATTCAGTTAAACTACCAACATACCTCAAAGAAAGATATATATTATACATAAGAGCTACTGTGCAGTTGTGAGCTTTCCCAAATTATTTCAAATAGGTATAAAAATGGCTTATAAACTATTTTTATTACAGTCTTTCAGAATTTCTACTTTTAGGATTAATGGCTTGTTATAGTCTGTTTTGTAAGATGTGTGTTTCAATGTGGTACAGGCTACAGTGAAGAGTCCCATTTAGTAAAGAATGAGAAATTCCATTGTTATATTACCCTTTCACGTTTATTCTGATTTGTTGAATCTCTGCTTGTTACTTTATTTCCTTAAACACTGTGCTTTATGTGTTCCCACATCAGCTGTTACTGGAGGTAGAAAACATCAACTGCATTGCTGTCGATTGGAAAGACGGTGCAAAAGGCACCTACGTCAGTGCAGTGAACAACATCCGTGTGCTTGGGGCTGAGATTGCTTATTTCCTAAAAATCTTACAGGTAAAAGCCACAGCTTTACCACCTACTATTCTTAAGTGGATGTAGTGGGGTTATGATGCTGCTGCTTTGATTTTGAACCTTGTCCAGTATGGTCAGCCAATGCTTCAGGAAGAGCTGAACAATGTTGAGAAAGAGCTAATTACACTAATTATCAACTCTGTAAGGACTTCTGACAGCCACAAAAGACGCAAATTAAGCTAATGCGGTAGAAAAGAGGTGCCAATTAATTAAAGACCAGTAGGTGGCAACATTTCCATATGATGATACAGGCAAGAAGGCATTCAATGGAAATGAGGCAAGGCCTAAGAGTTCAGCGATGGCAAGTTTTGCCAGCTTTTGTTTATATGTGTGCTGTAAGTAATTAGTATCTCAGCTTAGCATCATTGAAACAAGCAGGAGCTGGCTCACTTGATAATGCCATATTTGCTGTCTACAGGCAAGATAAACTGCCCAGTTGCCTTCTGGTTGTGAACTTCATGTTCCTGAAGGCAAGTGTTCGCATTTAAACACATAGCACAGAACCGCTCCCTTGCAAAGTTTAAAAGTATCAGCATTTTTCCCACTGACTTCAGAAAGACTCATGAGTACTTGAAACTGCTGAAAATCAGAATCCTGCCTGGCCATGGACTTAATCCTGGTCAGGAGGTGTTCATCTTACAGGGCTGCAAGAGGTAGCTCAGAGCCCACAAAGCAAAGTGTCAACTTTGCAAGCACCTGAGTATCAAACACTCCCCCAGAACCTTCTGGGGTAAAATCTACAGCTTCTACCTATGAAACTCATCTCTAGCCTCACGTTTGCCTCCACATCTTTCTTTTTTGTGCACAAATCCCAGGTCATTGGAATATGGGTTCAGATTTTCATTTAATGAAATGCACCATTTGTAGTCTAGGCCTCTTTCTTCCATTACAGAACACAAAAAAAAAATAGTAATGCAGAAATGATTCTTAGGCTTTCTTTTCTTTTCCCTAATTTACAAACTTTTAGAGTCTGATTTTAGGAAAAGTTAAGTTGCATTGTAAATGGAAGTACTACTGTAAAATGTATTCAGAGGAACCTGCTGTCTAACAATAAAGGCAGACAGGCCAATACTACCGATTTTTTTTTATTTTGATACACGCATGACAAAACACAGCCTGGTGTAAAAACCTCACACAATTAGCAACCAATCCTTGTTGTCTTTGGACACTAAAAAACCCACCAAATCCCTGGAAGAAAGGTGACCCCTGCATAAACCTACACACTGGTTAATCTCCATTCCCACCTTCAAAACACAACCTGCATGCTGGTTAATCTCCATTCCCACCTTCAAAACACGTGTAACATCTCAGCAGTGCAGGTCTTGTACAGGTGGCACTTGGCAAAGAGGAGAATGAGTGTCACCCCACCTAAGCCTGTCAGTGAAAATATTATTGAGTGACACCATCACATATTCTAAGCAGACATATGGAGAATAGACATATGATAAAAGGGCTCCATAATTGAGTAAATAAATAAAAAGTAAGATCATTTTGATGGCAGATGAGATTAGGGGTTGATCCAAATGAGAAAGAAGGTTTGCATTTTGTCACCAACAGTAACTGACTATGATAACCACATGCCAACACTACAACAGAGAATCCATCATCACTAGGCATCTAAAATTCTAGATTAGATCATTTGCTATCAACTCTTAGTGTAATTTAAATAATAATCAACTCAAGGAACTTACACCCTGCTTGCTATGCAGGAAGTCAGTCTAGATGTTCCCAAAGGCCCACAATGTAAGACATCCTCTTTGATTGCTATTTAAAGCCTGTGTTCTTGTCTCCCACCACCATCACCTTAATAATCAGAACAACTTCAGATACCTCCTTGGCAAAATTCATTTAATTGGCCACAGTCTGGGAGCACATACTGCAGGAGAGGCGGGAAGAAGGATGCAAGGCATCGGGCGGATAACAGGTAGGCTGTTCACCAAGGGACATAGCACTTAAAGCTAACATAGCATTTTCCTAAAGGAAAGAAATTGTAACACACTGCAATTCCAGTCTGTAGACTGGAATTAAATTATTGTTAGTGCTGGAGTCACCTTGTGTGAGAGCAGGCAAACTTTATGCTTCTCTGAAACAAGGATAATTATTACATCTTCTTTCTCTGATTAGCTTTAGTGGAAGGACATAGTTAATGCTTGTAATATCACTGTTGTTCACTGGGTTAGATCAAGCCCTACACAAAGACAAAGCAACATATCAAGAATCTTTAGTTTTTTCTATTCCTAAAGCTTTACAGGCCAGTAATAAACTCACAGGTAATGAAGTGCCTCCTTCGTAGTAATACGATGCCATTATATAGTGCTTTAGAAAATATTTTTCTTCTTTTGGAATAAGTTTGCAGGAAGGTTCACAAAAGCATGTTATTACAATTTTTTCAGTTTAGCTTAGAATTCACATGATTATTATTCAGTATGCTTGTGTAGTACTAAACATGTGATATTGTTAGTTGGCAAAAGAGATATTAATACATGCAACACTTCTCTCTCTTCCTCCCTCAACCAATAAATGTGGGGGTTTTCAGGCTTAGACCCTGCTGGGCCCTATTTTGAAGGGACTCCTCCGGAGGTGAGACTGGATCCTTCAGATGCAAACTTTGTTGATGTTATTCACAGCAATGCCCCTCACTTTCCTGCTGTAGGTAAGTGTTCACATGCAAATAAATAGCTGCAGGGATGGGCAGGTCACCAAGACACTGACATCATCACACCTGTATCTCAGGGCTTGGAATCCGTAACACCAGTGGTCACCTTGACTTTTACCCAAACGGAGGAACTGTGATGCCTGGATGCAGCGATTTAACTAAAGAGATGAAACAAAGTGATTTTGAAGCTGTCATTGCAGGTAAACATACATTCCCAATATGCCTAGTACTCTATTTTTGTTCAATCCTGAAATGTGAACTGTGATTTTTTTTTTTCTCCCAAACATAACTGTTTGTTTGGGAGAAAAGAACAAAACAAAATTGTTTTTTTGCCTATTTACTCATAAGCAAGGAAAGGAAATAAGAATAAAGAATAAAGGTTGGATCAGAACACTGTAGGGACAGGAAGTAAAACACAGGCTTAAGCTTTGCTTCTGAAATTTGAAATTGGACCTGCAGAACACAAAAAGACAGGGAACAGGGACTCTGCAAGTCTAATACCCTGACAACATCAGCAGGGGGTTTTCTAGGCTGAGACAGACCAGTGTCATGACCAAGCCTGTGGCGTGACACCACCACCTTCAGTTTCCTGCAGATGCTGCAAAGAGCATCCAGCACTTACAAGGCACGAATCAGGCAAAAGCACTCGGTGATTTCACATGCCTCACCTCTCCACCTGAAATTTCTCTCTCCTCACAGGCTTTGGGGAGGTTGGCAGAAAGCTGGTGGATTCTCTTTTCTCTATTAAGACTTTTAAAACTGCAATTAAGGTCATCTCACTGTGACATCTCATATATACATACACATATATATATACACAGGGCTGCCTTCATAAAAGGGACTATTACACCATAGTAGATCAGTGCATCTCACTTGAAATCTTGGGATAACTAGCATACAGTTCTCTGGATAAAACAGGCAAAACAGTAACTTCTACTGCACCTAAAAATGTGTAAATTCAGGTGACTATTTATTACAAGACCAGGCTGCTGTTCTGTCCTGTGCCTCAGCTATTTCCATGGCAAGGCAAATGGAACACTTGTGCAAGAGGTTATTTCATGGATGCTCATAAACTTTGTTCCAACAGACACTACAGTCATTGGGGGGTGCCATCACTCACGCAGCCATGAGTTTTATTTTGAAAGTATCCTCTATCCCTCCGGATACCTCGGATATCCCTGTGAAACGTACGAAGCCTTCAAGTTAGTAAGTATATCATCAGCCCAGGGGCGAGCGAGCGGGTCTCTGCACTCACGATAGGTCCCACAAATAAACACACTTATGAACCATGTTCTTCCTCCCCCCGCCCCCCATCCACGTTCTATTGCAAAGTGGATTCAGGGAAATTACCCTCCCAGTGGAAGGGCAAAATTGGCTTATATTTCATCCTAGACTGTAGCTGAAAAAATATTTGGACTAGAGAGTTTCAGACCATCATGCACACAGGTATTAAACCTGCTCATTCCATGCGGGCTCAATACGCATGGGTGCAGGAGCTGTTATCTGTCAGGTTTTGGTGGTAAAGTATGACAACACTGAGCACTGCCAGATTTGCAAGATTGTAACAGCATCTTGAGCCTTAATTTCGTCAGAGATAGGATGAAAAGAAAATACTCCTTTTAAATTAACTGGTGCTCTTATTTTCCCTAGGGACACTGTTTCCCATGCCCCAAGGAGGGATGCCCAATGATGGGACACTATGCTGACAGATTCCCAGCCAGACTGAAGATGGTAAACCAAAAGTATTTTTTAAATACAGCAGCAGATGTACCTTTTGCTAGTAAGTGGAGGAGGTTTGTAACAGTTGCTCATGTTTGAAAAGTGATTGCCTTGACATGATTTACAGCCATGCACTTCTGCTCACTATGCCAGCATTAATGAATTCCAGTTAGGGAAAAAAGAAAAAAAAAAAAAAAAAAAAAGAATTTACTGGA